TCTGCTGAATGGCAACTATTTCTAGTTCTGATTCATGATTGCTAGGTTTTGGTTTCAAAACGTTGCTCGTAGCGTCGCATTTCGATAGCTGAAAAATAAAATGCAATAACTTAGCTATTTGTTTATAATTCATGCTGTTCCTAGTCATAAATTAATTTTAAACATTAGTAGCCAAGGCTACACATGTATTGCTATTAGTGATAGTTTATTTGAACAGTTCTCGTAAATATTAAATAATATTTCTTGTAAATATTCATGACTAAAATTGCATTTTTTTCTCCACATTCTTTGATTATTTTATATTTAAATTTTGAAAAAAATGTACTGTTGTTGAAAATTGTCAAATGGCAAATTATAGCTTGGTTTGTTGATTATGGCTATGTCTATTAAGATATAATTTATGTCCTTTGAAACAATTTTTTCTGCATGCTTATATATCTTTACGGCTATCTTTACTGTACGGTACCCCTTGTTTTTTTTTTTTTTTTTTTTTTTTTCTGGAAAAATCAGGAAGGGGTATTGCTTGTTCGTGAAATCTGGAAGCCCGCTGATCAAAATAGATTTTTCGGTAACCCTAATGTTGCTAAAACTAGCCTTGTGAAGTTTTTTTTTTTTTTTTTTTGGTCATTAAAAAGGCGTTATTTCTATGAATATCACTAAAAGTGTTATGATAAATTTAGGGTATTTTTTGCAAGAGTAACCCTTTCATATGGACCCAGGTTTTTGGTTCTAACCATTCTTTTAAATTGCTGTGTTTGCTTGTATGTGCGTGGTACGGTCTTGTATTTTGAACTTGCTATTATTTTGCTGTGGTGATTGAATATGTCTGAGGTGGGTAAGAGGATGAATGTTGATGGGTTGGATTATAATGAAATTGTGAATTTGAGGTTTTTGTATAGTTGGATGATGGACAAAAGACTCATTTTTGCATGAAAGCTGGTTTAAATGCTGATAGATATGAATGAGCCGAACCGACGAAAAATTTAATTGAATTGTTTACCTGGAGGATGGAGAAGATGGTGGTAGAAAGCCTAAATGTATGCACATGAAAAAAGGGATCTTAAAAAATTGACGTTTCATTTATTTATTCATCTCTGTGTGTTAATTCTTATTAAAAAAATTGTTGTTTAATGTTTTTATGTTAGGAAATATGTATTTTTGGTTATTTGTTCATCTCTGTGTGTTAAGACAGCGGCGAATTTTTTTCTGGTTACCATGATAGTTTTTTGTTTTAGCTTCCAGATTTTATTTAAGTGAAAGTAGATTAATGTGTACATGGGCGAAGTTAAGGCAGTGCGCAATGCATAGTTTGTGCAATTCTCCGATTTTTTTTTTTTTTTAATGAAAATAGGTCGATGTCTACATGGACACAGAGTTTGTGTAAGACTTCTTATTTTGGTTTTGTGTAGCGGCCATCTTGAAATTGTGCCTTCTTGGCATCAAAAAAGAAACGATTTGCCATTGGGTTCCCTACAGTAAATTTTTACCATCTTTAGCAATATACCATTTCACCACAAGCAAGCATCTTACTTTCTAATAATCGTTTTAAGTAAAGGAAACTAATTCCATTTATGCATACCAGAGAATTAAAATACAGTCAAAAGTCATTAATCCGGACTCGTCAGGACTTCGCGATTCCGGATTATAGATCATCAGTTTAAATCTGGTAAGATGGCATGCAGAAATTATGAAATTAAAAATATGAAACCGTAATTTAGGAAATAAAGAGCAGTAATGATCTAAAGGGTATCAAAATTTACAAAAAAAAGTTTAATTTTTATTTGTTTACTTTATTAAACATTTCTTTCAACGCACACACATGCCTAAAGCATACATTACGCATAGTCGAAATTAGAAAATTGATATTCATTTTCTTGAATATTCAGAAATACAGTGTTCCCTAAAACAGAGGCAGTGTTGTGAAACAAAAGTGTGTTAAGGGTCATATATATAAAAATCTAATATTAATTAATTGTTTCAGTTTCACCCACATTATTAAGATTCACGATAAAAGTACACTTAACATTTTAAAAAGATACTTATTAGAGAAAACATGAGCATGAAATTTAATATGAGCTTTGTGTTTGATTTTTTTTTTAACTCTTGTGAGCTTCTTGTTTGACAAATCTGTTAAATGATGCAAACAGTATTTACAAGATGTTTACCTGAAATTTTGCTCATTTTATTTTTTAAATGCATCATATAATAAAATTTTTACTCAAATGCACCTAATTTCAGCTTGCAATAAAAAATGTAATTTTTTCTGTAATTCCTGACACATCTGTTGGATTTGCAAAGTCAGAAAATAGACACTGTCTACTTTTTTTTAAACTTCAGTGAATAGGACAAGAAACTAAAGTATTTAAAATTAGATAAAAAAAAGGGGGGGCCTATATTTTGCATAAAACTAAATTGATTTTGAAAGCGAACAAAAACAAATCAGAGTCTCTTTGAAAGTCTCAAAGAAATTCTTTCCTCCAGGCAGACTCTGGCAGTGCAGAATCGGCCACTTATTTGTTTGGCGCTTTTTACAAGAGTAAGAAGAATTGGATTTTTGTCAATTTTCTTAACTTTTTAAGGGAAAATAGGTTGATGTGTACATGGATAAAGTCAAGGGAGTGAGCAATTCTGGGATATTTTTTTAAGTGAAAATAGGTCCATGTATACATGGATACTGAGTATGTGCAATTCTTAAAAATGCACCAAGCAGTGGGCAATTCTGCCCTTCACCAGAAATTTAGTTTCTAATTGCATTGATATCATTATAAACAGTTATAAGAGCCAGCTATTTATCCACAAGTATAAGTGGTGGCATGACAAGTAACTTATTATGCAAGCATCATAAATCCAATAAAACACACAGATGTTTCAGGCCAGGCTTGGTGAAATGTCTTTGCAGGATGCATAGAATTCCATTGGCGGTATCAGTTTGAGACCACTACTGTAGAAGAAAAGACGGCTTCTTCCTTTATGTAAACACACCAGCGGTTGAGTAGTACGACTCTGAAGGGTAGTGCTTCAATATTTGCACAATTTCTTCAGCATATGCCAGCCATTATCAAAGCCAAAAGAGCAGTAAATTGTTCCTAACCAAGTGTCCAAAATTAAGTAGCAATTCAGTATATAAGATCTGATATTCTCTTGTGACTGTCAAGGTTATGTATTTGTTAAAGAAAAAATTTTCATATCATACCTGACAAAACCTCCTTCCTACACAGAACAATAAAATTCTGGAATTAAAACTGTTAAAAAAAATTGGGAAAATATAAAAATAAACTGAATGCCATACTGGAAACAATCCTTTTTCCCTAAAATGAAAATCAAACTCCTGGCATAAACCCTCCTCTCAAAAAAGCAATGTTAAGAAAATTTTAGAAATGTTTAATTAAATATCTACATAACTATTTTTAAGTATTTTGCTCTTAAGATTAGAGTAATCTTATTTCATTGAATTCCATGAAATAAAATTTTAAAATAATCTAGCAAAAGACTATTTGTTTCAACAAAAAGTCCTGTTAATATGTCAGGTCTAATTCAAGAACAGCGTATTCCTTGAATGAATTTCACAAAATGATTACAAAGAAAGAAAGTGGACAAATTTCTCTTTAACTCTGAAGTTTTATTAAGTTAAAAATTTCAGAAAAAATTTTTTTAGACTTTTAGTTGCTCATAATGCTTACTGAGCAATTATTTGCATGTCTAAACTGAACCTTTGGGGGGGGGTACACAGGTCTTCTTGCTTCTAAAGTAAGCATTCCTTATTGGATTGTGGGTTAAGAAAGAACAGTTTTCATATAAATATCTAGTATGCAAAGATTTCTTACCTGCATGGCAATGATATTTCCCAAACATATTCTTACCTGTTCAACACACATGGGGTTGCTTTACTTGTTAAGTCTAATATTTGACTGAAGATATTTTAGACCTTTTTTTCCCTTCCCAACATAATATCTGGTAAACCTGTATGGGATTTGTGAATGAAACACTGACACAGGTGTTACTGGATCTGGATAGGTATGGTCATCAGTATTTCTTCACTATGAATTGTATAAATCTTCATGACTGACACAAGGAAAACATGCCTTTTTAACTCATGGCAGAGCTGAGTCTGGTATATGCATTAAATTTGGAAAGAGCTATGTTTAACACAAAACACCGATGTTACATTATGCATGGGTTGAAACATTAGGTTATGTTTTAGAATTTCAGTACTAGAACATATACCCACACAGCAAATTTTGTTGACAGCTTTCGAATAACTAGCCATTGTTCGAATCTGGGCTTGAACATCGCCAAGCACACTTACTAACATAAACAACTCTCTGCTGACATATGGGGCTGCTGTATAAGCCTCAGTAACTGGAAGGACATTTTGAGAATATAGAGAAAATTCTTAGGATGCACATGCATGATCACATGACTGTTTTACTTTACTTCTTGCATGGCTTTCAAGAAAGCATCCCATTTTGCTAGATAATAGATTTAAACACTGAATAGTTATATGTAGGCAGCGAACACTGATTATTATATAAAAATACATTGAATACCATTTGCACATAGGGAAGAGAAAAGAAAAGCCATAATTGATCATGAAACTTTGGATTTCTTTAAAGATTAATACAAGTTGAATACTGTGCTGGTAGCATCTGCAGCACAGTGTGAAACTGATCAGCTAAACTTTGGAACATGGTAACAGGTAGTTTGACGACATTTTGGTAAGGCGATAAAGGTTACCAGCTAGGACTTTAGCAGTATACATGGATAAAGTCAAGACTGTGCAATTCTGGGATGTTTTTTTAAGAGAAAATAGATCGACGTATACATGGATGCCGTGTATGTGCAATTCTTAAAAACGCGGGAAGCAGTTTGCGATTCTGCACTTTCTCCCAATTTCGCACCTAATCTTCGTCATGATTAAGCATTTTTGTTCCATAAAAGTTCTAGTATAAGCGTAATTTGGCTAGCAGATCGTTAGAAAAAATGTTGAGTAAAAAAAAAAAACATGCCTTTACTTCGTGAAAACAAAATGGCATTCAAAACAAAACTAGCAGGTTGCTGTAGCAGGGTTGGTCGCCAAATTTTCGCCAAAAAATCGCCAAGTTACCATAATCCGAAAATTAACCAGTTCTATCATAAGAGTAATTCGGCTAGCAAACTGTTGGAAAAAAATTCCTTTACTTCGTGAAAACAAAAGGGCATCCAAAAAAAAAAAAAGACGGGCTGGAAGGTTGCTGTAGCAGGGTTGGTCGCCAAATTTTCGCCAAAAAATTGCCAAGTTACCATAATCCGAAGATTAACCAACTGATCTTGCAAACTTATGTATGCTTAGCATGGACTCCGTAACATTTCATTTCTAAGCATTCTCAACATTTCAGCCATAATTAAGTAGAAAGTTAACTTTTGTTGAGAAGGCAAAAAATTTTAACCTGCAATGCTAAAGATGTCATAAAACAGTACATTTCACATTTCCTTACTGCTTACAAAATGTTGCAGAAAATGTAATTCTCTCTAATAGATTGGAATTTGGAGAATGGTGGAAGCCATGTAAAACCTATAAAATCTGATTCTAAAAAAAAAAAAAAAAAAAAAAAAAACAGTAACCCAAGGCATATGCTGTTTTAAATTTCTCTTTCATACAAGGATTTGATGAAAAACCAAATGCATTTTAAGTTATTCATGAAAATAACTTGAGCTTTATCTGGCATTAATACAGTTTTTCTCAAAATCGTTTACTATATTTTTATCATATGATAATTTATATATCTCATGCAGGATCAGCAGTAGCCACTATGCCCCCGTGACAAAATCCTAGATTCTGCCCGTCATTCTAAGACTTTTAAATCCTGTCATCTCGTGTATAACACCAGCCTCAATTTTACACAAGATTTCTTTGCTGCATGAAGTCCTTACTGCATTGCTAAGTAAAATTTGTTACTATTCTAACAACACTTCAAAGGAAAGACAGTTTCTATTCTTTTTTTTTTTTTTTTTTTTTTCCAAATTCTTTCTTTGTTTAAATATTTTTACACACATAATTCATGACATTTATCTCTTGTGTAGATATGGAAATTTTAATCATCCTTTAATTTAAATGATATTTACTTATTTCAAGAACACAAGGTTGCTCTGCTGAGTGAATAAGCATATGTTTCATTACTCTTTTGATGAAATGACTTTACACACAAATCCACTCCCCAATGTAAACAAATAAAAGTTTCTTTAAATTACACTTTCGACTAAATAACTTCCTACATATTTCATACACAAGGTTTCCTTCTGGTGTGAATAAGCATATGCTCACTTAAAGCAGCCTTTCGTCTGAATAACTTCTTACATACTTCACACACATGTGGTTTTTCTCCTGTGTGAATAAGCATATGGATGCCTAAATAACCCTTCTGACGAAATGACTTCATGCATACTTCACATTTATGAGGTTTCTCTCCTGTGTGACTAAGCATATGGATGCGTAAGTAACCCTTTTGACTAAATGACTTCTTACATACTTCACAGATATGACATTTTTCTCCTGTGTGAATAACCACATGGTTTTTTAAATGGCTCTTTTCACGAAATGACTTCTTACATACTTCACATACATGACGTTTCTCTACTGTATGAATATGCATATGCTTGCTTAAGTTACGTTTTGCAATAAATTTTTTCTGACATACTTCACACACATGAGGTTTCTCTCCTGCATGAACAAGCACATGCCGATTTAAGCTCTCCTTATATCGAAATGACACCTTGCATATTTCACAGATATGTGGTTTCTTTCCTGTGTGAACAAGCATATGCCTGTTTAAAAGACTCTTTCTACTAAATGACTTCTTACATACTTCACATAAATAAGGTTTCTGTCCTGTATGATTAAACATATGAGTGTTGAAACTATGCCTTGCATTAAATGCTTTCTGACATACCTCACACACATGTGGTTTCTCTCCTGTATGAATAAGCATATGTTCAGTTAAACTACCCGTGTGACGAAATCGCATCTTACATATTTCACATATATGTGGCTTCTCTCCCAAGTGAATAAGCATATGCTTCTTTAAATGAGACTTTATACTGAATAAGTTCTTACATATTTCACATACATGAGGTTTTTCTCCTGTGTGAACTAGCATATGCGTGTGCAAAGTAGACTTTTGACAAAATGACTTCTTACATATTTCACACACATGAGGTTTTTCTCCTGTGTGAATAAGCATATGCACATTTAAACTAGCCTTTTGACTAAATGATTTCTTACATAGTTCACACACATAAGGTTTCTCTTCTGTGTGAACATGCATATGCCTGTTTAAATCACTCTTTTGACTAAATGACTTCTTACATACTTCACACACATAAGGTTTCTCTTCTGTGTGAACATGCATATGCCTGTTTAAATCACTCTTTCGACTAAATGACCTCTTACATACTTCACACAGATGAGGTTTCTCTCCTGTGTGAATAAGCATATGCATATTTAAACTAGCCTTTTGACTAAATGATTTCTTACATAGTTCACACATATAAGGTTTCTCTTCTGTGTGAACACGCATATGCCTGTTTAAATCACTCTTTTGACTAAATGACTTCTTACATACTTCACACACATGAGGTTTCTTTCCTGCGTGAATGAGCCTATGCTCCCCTAAATCACGCTTTAGTCTGAATGATTGATTACATTTTTCACGTACATAAGGTTTCTTCTCTGTATATGTATCCATAGGCTCTTTTAAAACTGTGTTCATTCCAAATAATTGGTTATATACCCCTAGAAATGAAGTTTCTTCACAATATACATAACTAAAAGTTTTGACATCATATAACTTGCTACATATCTCAAGATGATGTTTATGCTTTGCATTGATATAAAATGACTTAATTAAATGAAGTTTTATTAAAAGCAGTTCTTGGACACTTCACACTGGCTTTCTGCCTTTTCCTCAAATAGGTCTGTGACTATCTTGATAAAAATATTAATATATATTGGGCATAAGAGCTAATGTGCTACATAAGCAGGGCTTGATTTCCGGAAAAATGTAAAAATCAATTTTTTACATTTCACACAAAATTCATGCTCGCTTGTTCCAGTTCTTGCTCAGGAATATACATACACTTAATATGCGTTATATCATGTATGTTATATTAAGATTACATGAAGTTTTGATTCACCTAAATTGGTTAGCTAGCCCGCAAGAGGTAGAAAAAGTTACTTATTTAAAGATACTACGCATTTTTCATATTTCACAATACCAAATTTGGAAAGCATTCTGTTGTAATGAAATGAAGCCATAGGACTATGTTCTAATCGGTGAAACTCCAGAAACAAAATACATGTTGTTCAATGGAATACATTATTTCACACGCTGGATTCTTTTCACTAGCCGACCGCTGTAGGTCGACAAGCGTCTAGCCCCTCAGACGCTAGTTTCCTCCTGGTTCCTCCCTGAACATCTGCGCGGATTACTGCGCATGTCGTCATTTCCCTGAAAGCGCCTCGTATTTACTCAGGGCTAAACAAGGAGGTTAGAATAGAAGGAGGGAAAGTTCAACTTAAACGATGAAGCGTGGCGGCCATCTTCCTGTTATCACCGTGACTTGTGCAAGGAAGTCTGTCATTGCAAAATTTTTTTCTTTTCTTTTTGAAGCATGTCAGCTTGTGTTGCGTATGGATGCACAAATAGATTCTCAAAAAAAATTCCGGGCATAACTTTTCACACGTAAGTATTGATTTTCTTTTTGTAATATGAAAACTATGTTAAAAAAATATCACAATGTCATGTTTTCTTTCCAGATGGGAAAAAAAAAGGACTTAAATAATCAAACATGTTATGTAATATAACTATAATAAAAATGTTAAATACATTTTAATGTTTCTGTTTATAGCTGGTATCTTCCTTCCTTAAGATACAATGATATATGGTAGGATTTAAATTGTATAATTTGAACGTTTTAGGTATTCTTTTATAACTTTCATGAAAAGTAAGAAATCATTTATTACTATTTTTATTAATTGTAAAGATGTTAAATAAAGCAATGCTTTTCTTTATATATTAATTATTTTCATTTTTAAGTTAAAAATTTTATGCGTAAAACACAAATTTCTGGCCAGTATAGTGATAAAATTATGTAAAATATTTACACAAATGAACATGTGAAACGATATATCCAAAACTATATAGGTGTATTTCTGGTAATTCAGCTTAATTAAAGGCAGTTTCTTTGAGATTAATAAATATGAAATGCGCATAAACTGAAATAATTGAAATCACATAAATCTGTTTTATTTTATTATGATTTATTTTCTGTTGTTATAGGTTGTTGGTTGTGAAAAGGATCTTCTATTTAAAGCTTTCATTTAAAAAAATGCAACCTGTGACTATTTTTTTAGATAATTATTTGCTATTAATTTCAGGTTTCCTAAAAATGCAGACGAAGAGCAGCTTCTATACCTTAAACTTTGTATATGAAATGATTCTTTAATAAATTATGATAATATTGTGAATAAATCAGATTTATCACTTTTAAAGGAAAATTGGGAAGTACACCAACAGGTTGCTAATGAAACCTAAGCAAATCCGTGAAATATGCAAAACATCATTTTCTAAGGCTTTAATGTTATGCGCATGCATTTAGATTTCGAACTATTTCTTAATAATTTGCTGTACATAGTAAATTATGGATATCATCTTTATTACTTTAAAACAAAAATTCAACAATAGCGAAGCATTTCATTATAAATTTAACATATTTTTACTGGAAAATACATGCACGGAACAGCTTAGAAACACGTACATGTCACTAACGTAATGCAATGTTTTGAAGTCACAAACATGGATGCCGCGTGTTCGGCGGAGGTTTCAATCCCCGATAGTGGAGGAAACGGCGAATCCTCCCTCCTTCTATTCTAACCTTCTTGGGGCTAAAGGGCTGGTTCTTCAGCTTCTCGCAGCTGAAACCGGAAGAAGAGACTGATGACGTTGTTGGGTTCGCTTGCTGTTTGAGAGTGTCTTATTCCGACTACGGTTGCATGAGTATTTGCTTGAAAATCAAAAGGTTTTGAAGAATTGCTTGGTAAATAATATGAGCAAGAGATTTTATCTGATGAAATTACTATTATATATGCATTTTTGTCAGACCTAGTAATGAAACTATGGCACGTTTAATAAAGTTATAGTGTGCGTACAACATAAGCTTTACTATTTAAAGTCGAATATACATTAAATATAGTTAACTTTTCCCACAATATTTTTTGAAGTGTATGTAAATAGTAATCCATCGACAAAAAGCATTGATAAATTTCTATGTTTACCAAGAACTGTTTTTGAGTTAAAATATCTCAAATAATATCACAAGTTGCGTTATAGAAATAGTAAATAAAATTATTAAATAAAATTATTTCAGAATACGTGCTAGAAAGACTTTACAAACCCATCTGATTAAAAGTTAATTAATTCTAATTATAAATTTCATAATACGTTAAATCAACACAAATTTTGCTTCGTTTAATTTTGTGTTTCAACTAGCACTGGAAATGAGTTAATCAGATTTTTGTAAGCCTTGGCAATAACTATTATCAGGATTACATTGCTCATAAAATTATAAAAAAATTTAAATTGATATTTATATACTTTCTTATGTATACACGTGTATTCTTATATTTTAAAAGTGTGTATTCTAATGCTAGTTTATCTCTGTGCAGAATTTCGTGATTTATTTTGCATAGTCATAAATACCTAAAAAGTGCATAAAATAAATCATATAACAAAATACTTGAATAATAAACCAAATAATTATTTAAAACATTATTTTTGATGCAATAAAATGAATTAATTTACATAATTTATTTACCTATTTTCTGGTTAGCTTTTCCTACCGACGCAAGGGAGGCTTTCCAATTCAAGTGTCGAATTCTTATAAAGATTCGTAAACGGCAAAATAAAAAAATAAAAAATAAATAAAAAAATAAAAAAAAACAACCCACAAAAACACGTGTTCTTATTGACAGAGGAAAAACGTTTTTCAAGTTTAGAAATAAGATTTTTAATTTTTCCCATACATTTTCAAAAATTTTCTTGAATCTTCGTGAAGGCTTTTTAAGGGAAAATGGCTCGTATCTACCTATGATTTTACAGATAATGATCTGATTACAATGTTCTCTGAAGTGCCATCTGGAGACATTTTAATTCGTTTTTGTTTCATTATCGTACTTATTTGTGTTTCGGTATATATGTTTAAAAGATACATTTTCATTTTCAATTTTCTTGATTAGCTTTTAGCCTTAAAGGAGAGTTAGTCACGAATTGGATATTGTCCCGAAATGGCATTTATCGTTGAATCACTGTAAAGGGCGTCTACTTTTCAAACTGTTGCCACCAAATGCACTCATGTCCATAAATTAAGGATAATGCAAAATCAGGCAAAGGAAGAGTTAGAAGCAAAACAAATTTGACTTATTTGTAAAGCTTATTTATTAAACAAAAGGTAAAGAGCAAAAAAAGATGCTATATGTTTGATAGTATTAAAAAATTAGCGATTTTTTCTCCCTGGAGCAAATTACAAAAAAAAATCCTATTTACAAAGAACCAATATTACATGGTTGGTATGATTGTTAATACATTGTATATGTGTCTCAGACGATGCAACACAGTCCGTACAACGCCTAGGCATGCTGAGTATCAAATTATCGATCTGATCTTGGGGGGATATTACACTACTCAAAAAGCAATGCTCTCCGAAGTTCCGGTAGACATGTAGGAGGAGGTTGACGGGAAGCAACTCGTCGGCCAAGCATGTCCCACACGTGCTCTACTGGATTTAAGTCCGGTGAGAATGCTGGCCAGTCCATACGGGTGATATCCTCCGATTGAAGGCATTCGCTTACGATGTTTGCAAGGTGAGGACGGGCGTTGTCATCCATAAACACAAATTGTGCGCCCCGAAACAAACGTACATGTTGTTCCAGAATGACGTCCCGATAGATTTGGCTTGTCATGGTTCTAATTTGAACATGTAGGTCAGTTCTGGAACCCAGAATAATTCCACCCCAAACGAGCACTCCTGAACCAGCTTAACGGTGTCGTTCAGTGATGTTTTCTTGGTGGTAACGGGTATCTGGAGCTCTCCATATGAAAGTCCGCCGAGAATCAGACTGCAAGCTAAACCTGGACTCGTCGGAAAACATCACACAAGCCCACTGTTGCAGTGTCCACAATGCATGTTCTCTACTCCAGGCTAACCGCAGGCGAAAGTGAGTTGCAGTAAGTGGAACGCATCTGACAGGTCTACGAACATATAGACCAATCTGCTCTAAGCGTCTGTACACGGTCTGCCTTGAAATTGTCGTACCAGTGGCTGAAGAGAGCTGACGAGATAGGTCTGAGGCTGTGCTCCGCCTGTTTCTTTTGGCAGTAACTGCCAAATACCGGTCCTCATTCGGCGTTGTAACTCTGGGGCGATCTGTGCTGTAACTTCTACTCACCATCATCTTGGAATCGTTGCCAAAGGCTGGAGATGACACTCTGGGCAATTCCAAGTTCGTCTGATACTTCCAGTTGCGTACGCCCACATTCCAGACGGCCGATAATTCTATCACGTAAAAAATCATCCAAATGCGCCCTTTGTGTCATAACTATTCGGTTATTGCACTGAAATGCTTAGAAAGCGCCTGCGAACAATTTTACTTCTTGGCCTGTATTCCTTATATATCACTCCCTTACACTCTCGTCATTGTGACGTACCATCGGTGTCTTCTGGTTACTTGCTGAAATTTGCATATGATTCTTGAAGATGTTTGTAGTGATTTTACAGGGATATATTTATTTTGAGTTCGATTTCCGCGTGACTCCGAATTATCCTTAATTTATGGACATGAGTCTATTATCAACCCGTATTATATTTAAAGAAATTTAAATAATGAAGAATCTGCATGAAGGTATGCATTTTCTCGAAATGCGAAAAACAACGGTATAGAGAGTCATCAAATTTTGTATAACATATTTCTCCCACTCGAACATGAGCACCTGGAAGCTCGATTTTGAATTCGAAATGTTTTATTATCTCTTTTATATTTTGTGAAGCCTTAACGATTTTAATTAACCAACTCAACGATTACAGAGCAAGCAGTGGCAACACTGACACGGAAAAAGCATTTTTATGTCCAGAGCGCGAAACTGTCTACCGAAATTTTAAAGATATGATATTTTTAATATTTTATAATTTGCTGTTTAATCGAATTTTATGTGTAAGCGCCAAGAACGGGATATTCATGAATAAAGTAAACATCAAAACGTTAATAATGAAGAAACAAAAAAAAAATCTGAAATTTTTCAGATTTTAAATTAGTCCAAAGGGGCGTTTTTTAACGTTTGAGTGTTGCCTTTATTTATTAAATATTCA